TTAAAAAATATAATTAAAAATAAAATTCTTCGAGGCATCTCCTTAGAACAATTCAAAAGAGAATCTAAACGTTTTCTATTAGAAAAAACTTTCGATTTTTAAGATTTCTTCTAAAATCACCTAAAATAATTAAACATGAAAAAGTCATCTCTACTCATTTACTATTGTCTTGTGTATCTTGTTTATTTCTTATTAAAATAAAAAATATATATACTATTAATTTTGAACAGACAAATAACATTTATTCGATTTATTACTTGTGTCTTATATTTGTAGAACTAATATTGAATTGTACTTCAATTTTTAACCTTTTAGTTTTTACCTTGTAACTTTGTGACGTTAATGTAAACGGGGCTTGGCGATAAGACAGTTTATGTCTTCTTCTTGCTCCGGCCAATTTTTATACATGAATGGTTTTTTCTCATTGTAAATTTAATTATACGGCAAAGAAAATATAATAATATAAAATATATATATATAAGGTTTACTATGACGCCATTAGCGGATTTTAGATATTCACTAACATGTTTAAAAACTATAACAAAATCATGTGCAAAAATTCACAGTTTTTATTTTTTACTATTATTATTATATAAAAGTGATGAAAAAAGTGATGAAAAAAAAAAAAGATTATTGATCTAAAACTTAAAAATTTATAATTTAACAATAAGGGATAAAGAATATAAAACATAAAAAAATATTTTTCTGGCTGAATTTTTTTCCAGAAAAATATTTTTTTATGTTTTATATTCTTTATCCCTTATTGTTAAATTATAAATTTTTAAGTTTTAGATCAATAATCTTTTTTTTTTTTCATCACTTTTTTCCGAGTATACTCAATAACCCTGTTGGGTTTTAAAGTGTGTTTTTTCTTCCAAATTGTTCAAGTATGCACGGCCGTAACTTTTTAAATAGACAAAAATTTTAACTTTTATTTTTATAGCTTAAATCTGCATGCTATTTAGGTATACAAAATTTAAGTTAAATTTTAATTTCAAAAAATTAAATATTTTACTCATGTCCACTATATAAACCACTGTGCCATGAAAGGTCACGACTTCTTTAAGAAAACTCTCGATTAAGAAAAGTTTAAAAACTAAGAAATAGTGTATTTTACAGAATACAGAACCGTAATAACTAATATCGAACAATAGGCGTAACTATGCGCACTATTCATTATAGTATTAATATTAAAATAAAAACAATGTTTTGAACGCCATAAAGATAACAGTCTTTTCCCTAATTTGTAAGAACTTTTTTTAACACTCCGCACGCAAAAACAACCAATATATTAAAGTACTGAACAAAAATTCTTACCAATTCGTTAGTTTTGAAAGTTTGTTTCCTGTTTACTGCTAAAACGTTCAAAGATAAGCTATACAAATCATTGAATAAGTCTTTTTTTTTTAATTTTTTGTTTGCAAATGATCATTGAAATGATTGCAAAATAATGCTCCTGCTTGTTTAATACAAGGAAGGGGGATGTCAATGATAAGAGGGAGGGTAGGAACTTTAGTCCAGTCTTAATAAAAGAGTGCTTTCAATATAAGGGTGGGAGCATTTTACAGAACACTAATTAAACAAATTAACTCTTGTGTATTTTGCGTTCAAATGCGTATTTTTTAACAGCTGTTTCATTATAATTTTCAACAGAATTTATTATGTTTATATAAGTTTTATACTATGTTGAAACATAAATAAAAACCTAACTTTTGAAAAACTGAGATTTTTAAAGATCAACGATTTTTAAAGCCTGATTACAAGTAAAAACTATAAAACGGAAAAAGGGGAAAGGTATCTTAATAAGCTTCTCCACCCGTGTATTAAGTATCTAAGAGTAAACTATCACTTTTATGCTCAGTGTTTAAAATTTTTAACGTTAAATTTATGGGTGCATTTTTTATGTAAAGCACTTTCCATAAACTTATAATTTCTAGTTTTCTCACGTTTCTTAGTTTATTTTATTTATCAAAAAAACCGCACTGCTTATAATTGAGATAACGTGGGCCGATGATGAAACTTTGCTCTGTGACATTTTATATTCAAGAAATAGTAATAATGTTTTCATAGTTTATTTATTCTTTAAATTCCCTAGACATTACTTATTTACATAAGATTGACCACAAACGCATCTTCCACGCAGTACTTGTTCTTTAACATTAATTGCGATATAACGACATAGAGGGTATGTAAAAAACGTTAACATTATCAAAACTTGTTTTGACGATTTGCAGGCTGGAGATAGCCAAAACAAGTTAAACAATTATTGTGCGTAATCATTAAAATCTCTCCTATTCCTAAATAACTAATAAATGTAACAAAGTTCGTGGTTTAAACTTAGACGTTTTGTTTACACAATTATAAAACGCTTCAAACGCTTACTATAAGGTGCCAAGTAAACGCCCCTGTTTGTTTATTTGGCGCCAAAAATTCACAACATTTTTACTTAGCCCTTTTCAACTTATTACATATTTAATCATAAATTTAAAATTCTTTTACTAATGTTCCTTTAATAAAAAAAATATAAAGTTAGCAAAAAAAAGTTATTTATTATACTTAAAAACATCTAGTTATTTGTTTAAAAACGTCTAGATATTGGTAATTACTTGTTAATTGCGGAAAATGAGAAAAGGAAATATTAGCCAAGAATATTTTTTTTAATTAGTGCGTACGTACTTTATATTCAACCACCAACCCTACCCCAACTCCTTAATATACCATTGTAAGATTTATGCACTCACCATCTCCCCCAATTGTTTGTACTTTACAAAAAATTCCTTATTATGGTAATATTGTATGGACTACACAGAAAATACAAAACGTGTGTTACGCGGGTATTAAAACCTATTTAAACGTGTTGAAATTGCAAGACGTACTTATTTTTTAGACGTACTTATTTTTTAGACGTACTTATTTTTTAGACTTTTTAAACACGTCTTGTGTTTACCGGGCGTCTGTAGGAAAGACAAACCTAAACCTCTTAATCATCCTCTTCAACCCTGTCATCAGAAACATAGAATACGGCTAATAAATTTTAGTAAACCTTTTACTCGTCATGTTTTAAAAAGAACAGTAAGACTTAAGAAAAAACAGTTCAATTTGATAAAAAGCCCGATAAATTGGTAAAGTATTAACACTTAAAGTGTTAAAGATGGCAGATAAAAAAGTTTACAAGCATACAAGAGAAAAATAGCAAAAAAAAAATTTTCTACTTTTTTGGTCCAAAATAGAAAAAGTGCCCGTGTATCTTACTCAATACCTTTTCAGCAAATTTTTGTTGCGAATTGTGTTAACATTCTATTTCCTTAAATTTTATCCATTTAATATTTTTTCGTATGATGAGTAGTTTTTGAGATATTTTAACCAACTTGCCCCTATGCTCAACTAGCACCATTCTACCATACTATTCGTTTTTTTTTTTTTTTATAATTTATAATTAGAATACAAACTAAATATAATTTACGAATTGATACTTTTGTTTCACAACATTTTCAAGGAACTAATTTTAGTCTATTTGCATATCATTCTGTAAAGCTTATCTTTGTAAAAAAATAAAAAATAATACAAAGACATGAATATGTTACTTAAAAAATAAAAAATAATACAAAGACATGAATATGTTACTTAAAAAATAAAAAATAATACAAAGACATGAATATGTTACTTAAAAAATAAAAAATAATACAAAGACATGAATATGTTACTTAAAAAATAAAAAATAATACAAATACATGAATATGTTACTTAAAAAATAAAAAATAATACAAAGACATGAATATGTTACTTAAAAAATAAAAAATAATACAAAGACATGAATATGTTACTTAAAAAATAAAAAATAATACAAAGACATGAATATGTTACTTAAAAAATAAAAAATAATACAAAGATATGAATATGTTACTTAAATATTTGTCTTTAAATTTCATTCTATTTATTAATCATTCATTTTTAAAAATAAATATCAAAGCTTTGGAATTAAATACAATTAGCTTTTCACTTTAATTATATTTAATAATATTAAAGAGACAAAGATCGTCGCTGTTTTTATTCCGTCGCCTCTTTGATATATATATATATATATTTTTTTTTTTAACAATAAAATGTAGCATTAAGTAAAAAGAATTTGAATAACAAATTAATGTGTCATACTTTATAGAAAAAATGGTTTAAAGGGATTAACTTTATCCTTTTGAATGAAAAAGCCTTTGAGTAAAAAAGCTAAAATAATTAAGATAGCACACTTTTTTCTATGGGAATTACCAATAATGGTATTTGAAGTGAGGGGGGGGGGCACAATTATCAATTTGTGAAAAAAGTCCTCTATATCAAGTTTTTTTTTTTATTATTATTTTAAATTTCCTTAAAAAAAAAGTAGAAGGCACGTGCTCCTACTGCCCTTCTCTCCCTCCTTGGTGTCGTCGGCCTTAGGCAGTGAAACTAATACAAACTTTATTTTAATTAACCTTTGCAATATTTAAAAAAAAAAAATTATGTTCGTAAATATTAGTAATTAGCAAATAATTTTTTATTTAATAAGCGCAAACGGAAGTCTTTTTTTCCATTTAAAATAAACAATCCAAAAAAAAAAGGAATAAAAATTGTTACAGAAATTTTTATCAATATTGCTACAAATTAAGCAAATATGTTTTGATTTTTAAAAAAGTTCAATTTTTTATAGCAAATAAATGAGCGCGATCTATTTAAACTTTTTTTCGTTAAACTTAAAAAGTTTAAATCTCTTTAAAGTTGAAAAGAAAAAAAGTAGAAAAAATAAGAACTTTTATGCGCATGCGCAAATCCTCTCAACATTATAGAAAAAAATGGAAATGGTTCCATTTTTGCACTGTCTAATAAAAGCCACTGATGGTAAAAGCAGCTTATTGTTTTACCTCTACTACAATCTAGCCCAAATCTTCCCTATCGAGTTTTATCTCATTTAAAAGAAAAAAACATAAAAAATACAACAGCAAACAAACAAAAAACTAAATCGTGTTTTATATATTATTTTTTCTTGTAAACATATATAAATTTAAACTATGCAGTTTTTTGATAAATTTATTTTTCCAATCAGTGTAAACATTATCAAAGATAAACGTCAAAGATGTTACAAAAACGCAACACAAAAATAATTGTTTTTGTAACAATTTTCTTATTTGATATTATTCTTTATGTATTATAACAAGTAAAATTTATGTACAATAAGTCCAAACACGTATAAATTAGTAAAGTTATTTTAGTATTGTTTTAACTTATGATTTGGTAATTGACTTAAGCATGGCATACTGTGACGTCGATTTTTATGTCCAGGAACTTGTAAGTAGTCCATTCCGCCTAAATATCCTAAGGAACGAGTCTTCACAAGCTTTTCTTCCTCTAATTTTATCTCGTCGTCTCCTTTTGCTTTCTTTTTGTCATGCAGCACATTTATAGAAAAAAAATCAGATTGTCGTTTTAAAACGTTCTGAAAATTTTCAAATGATTTTGAAAGCATTTTATCAATTTGTAAGCTATGGTTTTTTTTACTCTTCGGCGTCGGAGGTTGAATCCATATTTCAGGAATTTCTTTTTCGTGTTGGTTAAAAATTCCACGTACATTTTTTAACTTTGTTCCGAATGCAGGCAAAAAGTTTTCAACGCAATTCAAAACTAGAAGCGAATCCTCATTCATTTTTCTTTATTTTGTTGTTGTTGTTGTTGTTGTTGTTATTATTAATGTTTTTTTTAGATATATAAAAATAATCAGATCATGGCACTCACATATATTTAGACTAAACTGCCACCTGCCAAAAAAGAGTTTTTAAATGTTTACACTAGGAAATCTATTGATAGTTTTACTGCTAAATGTTACCGTTGTTATTTGAGTTTTTAAAATGTGGTTTCCGTCATTGTTGATGTTTTTTTAATTATTTTTTTTTATTATAAAATTGTTAGTCAATTTTTCATTTATATATAACGGCTATAAATCACTCAAAGCGAATGACAAAAAACTTAAACTTTAGTAATATAAATATTTATATAACTTAATAAAAAAATTAAATTTCTTTCAATATAAAGCCGACATGTGTTGCTGATATGTTTCATAAAACAGTTGGAGATCGAAAGCACTTATGTGTTTGAAGGACCAATGAAACAGTTGGAGTTCAAAACTTATAAATAAGAAATAAACTAATTTTAGAAGAAATATTTTTAAATGTTTGAATTTTATGACATTTTGCTATTATCACTAAAATAAAAATTAATTAAATTTATAAAATGTATTTTGTTAATTAAATTTATTGCTATATATATATATATATATATATATATATATATATATATATATATATATATATATATATATATATATATATATATATATATATATATATATATATATTTTATAAAACCGAGAAAAAAAAGTAAAGGATGGCATTCGGTAAATTAAAAATACCATTCCTTCTAATCATTGTTATATATAGGGATTTGTAAAAAAGTGGCAGGATGATTTATACTTTATAAAAAGATGACGGGATGGCATCTCGCCGCATCCCGCTTCGAGCGTATGTATATTAGAATTGTAAAAGAGAGAAGTATATATGAACTTTTTTTTTTTAATTCTTTTCATATTATATTTTTATTAATAAGTATTTCATAAACCTAATAATTTATTATAATATTTATATATAATATAATATTTTATATTGAACTATTTTTTTATAATATTTTATTAGTCAAATTAACTTGTAACTTATGCAGAATAACAAAACTATAACTTGCTAAATTATTTACTACTACGAAAATATTTTTAAAGCACCATAACATACTCCTATGAATTTTTTTACACACACACACAAACACACACACACACACACACACACACACGCACACACACGCACACACACGCACGCACGCACACACATATATATCAAACAGTTGCTATGTTTATGGTTTCCTTAAGTTGAATGTTTATAAATAAATTTTCAACATAAAATAAAACTATAAATTTATGTTAAATTAATCAGTTTAAATTCTTCAACAAAAGAAAATTAGAATAAAGTGTTCAAAATGGTGTAGGAAAAGGTATATACATATATATATATATATATATATATATATATATATATATATATATATATATATATATATACATATATATATATATATATATATATATATATATATATATATATATATATATATATATATATATATATAAATTTATAGACTAATTTATGTTGAAAAATAAATTTTATTATAATATTCTAAATACAAAGCATTATGTAGATAAATATTAAAAGATATATAATTGCAAATGTTAAAGATAAAAAAACTCACTCTTTTACTCTTAATTTCAAAGAATAAACAATTTAAAAAAATGAAGATAATGATTCGGAAATAAAATGCAGAATGTTGAATATCAATATTTTTTACTGCACATGGCAATCAAATGACATCTGTTCATATATTAGGTTACAATCTATAAACAATTGGAAATATGCAGCGTTGTTTGTTTTTTATATACATTTTTTATCTTTTTGAAATTGTGCTAATTATAGTTTAAATTATTAATTTTTTTTATCTCTTTTTATTGAATGTTTAATTTTTCTTTTTATTGAATGTTTAATTTTTCTATGATATGCCGAATAAAGAAAATTTATTTATAATTTTCTTTAGATAAGTAAAAAAAATTTTTCACTCAGATTCATAATCAGCAATTTGTTGGTTTTTTTCATTCGCACATTTTACTAATTTGCTTTATTTCACACTTGACCCAAATAACTTGACTTGACTCAAATAATTTATGCAAATCATCGAATTAAACGAGACAACAACATTCCATTTAGTCTGCTCTTTTCAAATTTTTATGCTCATTTTTCGTTGCGTGAAGTAGCAATTTACAAGAACTAATTTAATATATTTTTTCTTTGTAATATTAGCGCCATAATAAAACAAAGCGTAAGTGCTTTTCTATTAATATAGTAATTAAGTAAATAAAAACCTTAATTTGTTTAGTCGCTCGATAAAGAATTTAAAGAATCTCAAATAAACAAACTGATGTTCTCTTCTTACTCTTTTTTTTTATTTTTTCAACTTTATTGTGTCTTGAGTTTAGCGCGTATTTTATATAATGCAAAATTTTTTCAAAGGCGTAACAAAAAACTAATCACGATAAAATCTTTAATTTTACGTTACACGACTATTTTCACCCAAGATGTTATTTGACGTCGATTAAATAATTGAAAACAAAAATATCCATACATTCTTCTTTGCTTTTGAACAATTAAACCTTTAAGTGGCCTTAATAATGCGGTCAGTATTTATTCCAGGTTTTAAACAGTATTCTTATTCATTCATTTTTTACTTCTTTCATTACTAAAGTATACAAGTTTGTATTTACTATAGTCTAAATTAAAACAAAAATAAACATGTTTAATACAAGTCTAGCGTATTTTTATGGAGAAAATATACACAAAACCACCTGCTCACCTGTTTTTTTTAAAGATCTCATCTTTGACATTATATAACATAAGTTTTTAAGTGAAACTAAATAAATGAAAACTTGTTTTTGTTTAATAAAACTACTTCTACTCTTACTTCAAACTATTTTAAATACTCCTACTTCAAACTATTTTAAATACTCCTACTTCAAATTATTTTAAATACTCCTACTTCAAACTATTTTAAATACTCCTACTTCAAACTATTTTAAATACTCCTACTTCAAATTATTTTAAATACTCCTACTTCAAACTATTTTAAATACTCCTACTTCAAACTATTTTAAATACTCCTACTTCAAATTATTTTAAATACTCCTACTTCAAATTATTTTAAATACTCCTACTTCAAACTATTTTAAATACTCCTACTTCAAACTATTTTAAATACTCCTACTTCAAATTATTTTAAATACTCCTACTTCAAACTATTTTAAATACTCCTACTTCAAACTATTTTAAATACTCCTACTTTAAATTATTTTAAATACTCCTACTTCAAACTATTTTAAATACTCCTACTTCAAACTATTTTAAATACTCCTACTTCAAACTATTTTAAATACTCCTACTTCAAATTATTTTAAATACTCCTACTTCAAACTATTTTAATTACTCCTACTTCAAACTATTTTAAATACTCCTACTTCAAATTATTTTAAATACTCCTACTTCAAACTATTTTAAATACTCCTACTTCAAACTATTTTAAATACTCCTACTTCAATTTATTTTAAATACTCCAACTTCAAGCTATTTTAAATACTCCTACTTCAATTTATTTTAAATACTCCTACTTCAAGCTATTTTAAATACTCCTACTTCAATTTATTTTGAATACTCCTACTTCAAGCTATTTTAAATACTCCTACTTCAATTTATTTTAAATACTCCTACTTCAAGCTATTTTAAATACTCCTTCTTTAAACTATTTTAAATACTCACACTTCAAATTATTTTAAATACTCCTACTTCAAACTATTTTTTCTCCTACTTTAAATTATTTTAAATTTTTGAAATTGGAGCGATACCTTTAAAAAATAAGCCTACCAGAATATCATTAACATCATTATCTATATTAGATAATATTATTACAAGTGACGTTTTTAACTTATCTTTAAAAAAAGGTATTATTAAAAGTGACGTCTCTGATCACTTTCCTATTTTTTTCTCCATAAACACAGACATCAAAAAAATTCTACATCAAAATAAACCTTTCATTAAACGTTTTTTTACGGAAGCGAATTGCATTGCTTTTAAGGAACAATTATCTTCACTTCATTGGAAACACATAGATTCTAATGATGCTAATTTAGCCTATAATTCGTTTTTAAAAACATTTTTTGAAATTTATGATATTAATTTTCCTCAACATAAAATACTAAAAAAATAAATAAAGATTTCACGTCACCATGGATAACAAAAGATCTCAGAAAAATTTCTAAAGTTAAGCAAAAGTTATATTTAAAGTATTTAAAAATGAGAACATTAGAAAGTAAGAAAATTTATAAGAATTACGCTAAAAAATTTGAAATCCAAAGGAAAAATTCAAAAAAAAAAGTTATAAGGGAAATTACAGGCAGTAAGAAATTGATAGCTAGCTCTCTACCTAGAGCTATTAAAATTGATAATAAAATATTTTATGATCCGAGCGTGGTAGCTAATAAAATGAATGAACTCTTTACTTCAGTTGGATCAAATTTAGCAAAGAAAATTTCTAATATAAATAAAATAATAAACAGATGTAGTTTTCCTTTAGTATCTTGTCTAAATTCTTTTGAATTGTCTTTTGATGAATTTGATAGAGCTTTTAAAATGCTCAAGCAAAATAAAGCAGTCGGTCCTGATGATATCAATGAAAACATTGTTATTTATTCCTATGATATCATAAAAAATATCCTTTTTAAAATATTTAAATGTTCAATTCAACAAGTAATTTTTCCTGATGAATTAAAAATAGCGAGAGTTTTACCAATATTTAAAGGTAGAGACTTACTTAATGTTAGTAATTACCGTTCAATATCTGTTCTCTCTGTTTTCTCAAAAACTATAGAGAGAATTCTTTATAATAAAATTTTGAATCATCTTTCTCAAAATAATATCCTATACAAAAATCAATAAGGATTTAAAAAAAATAACTCCACTGAACACGCTATACTTCAAATAACACAATATATTAGTGAATCATTTGAAAATTCCAAGTTTACTTTAGGCATTTTTATTGACTTGTCTAAAGCCGTCGATACGATTGATCATAAAATTTTATTTAAAAAACTTAAATATTATGGAATCTCTGGCAATGTTTTGAAGCTTTTTAAAAGTTATTTAAGCAATAGAAAGCAATTTGTTCACTATGACGAATCATCGAAATCAAAACTGTTAGATATAACATGTGGAGTTCCTCAAGGGTCTGTCCTAGGACCACTACTATTTCTCATATACATAAACAATCTCTATGAAGCATCTAATTTAATGACAATTATGTTTGCTGACGACACGAACTTTTTTTTATCTCATAGCAACATAGCGACACTATTTCAAAGTATGAACATAGAATTAATTAAAATTTCTGAATGGTTTAAATTAAATAAGCTTTCTCTTAATATTGAAAAAATAAAATGTTCTCTTTTTCATCCATGCTACAAATAGTATCTTCTACCGAGTGAGTTGCCTGCTCTTTCTATAGATGACATGCAAATTGAAAGAGTAATGGCTACAAATTTTTTAGGAGTTTTTATTAATGAAAATTTGACATGGAAAAAACACATTGAAAAGTTATCATCTAAAATCTCCAAAAGTATAGGAATACTGTTCAAAATAAGAAACATGCTAAATAGACATACTTTAGTTCAGTTATACCACTCTTTTATTCATTGCCATCTAAACTATGCTAATGCGGCTTGGGGAAGTGTTAGCAAAACTAATATAGAAATACTATATATCCAACAGAAACATGTTGCACGACTTAATAATTTTAAAAATCGTTTTTATCATGCTAACCTTCTTTTAAACGAAATGAATATTCTTATATATCAACTTAATATTTTTAATGTATTGTGTTTTATGTTTAAATGTAAAACACGCTCATCTCTAATTTCTTTTCACAATTTATATTCTTTAAAAGTTAAAAATAAATACAATTTGCGTAATGAAAATTTTATTCTTCAACCAGTTTTCAAAACTAATTTTGGTAAGTTTTGCATTTCATTTAGAGGAGCATTTTTATGGAACAAAGTATTATTAAAACTTTTTGATTTTTCTTAAGAATGGAGCTTTCTCTTATTTAAAAGAATGTTGAAAAAAATTCTTTTCTCAATTGAAAACATTCTTATATATTTTTAAGTTTGTTTTGTTTTATATTATTACTCTTAAGAAATCTTTTTATCGTAATTTATATATATGAAATCTTTTTTTTCTTACCTTATTTATATATATATATATATATATATATATATATATATATATATATATATATATATATATATATATATATATATTATATATATATATATATATATATATATATATATATATATATATATATATAAGTATATATATTTGTATGTTTTTATAGAATTAAATGTGTAAAAAATTATATTTTTATTTAAGTGTGAATATTTATATATGAATTATTAGAGGATTATTTTTTATTTAAAATCTGTTTAGGCGGTTCTTGATGACAAGATCTTATGATCTTCTGAGAGTATCCGCGTTCTTCTTATTTTAACGCTAACAAAGTTTGTAACTTTTACTAATACTCCTACGTCAAACTATTTTAAATAATCCTACTTCAAACTATTTTAAATACTCCTACTTTAAATTATTTTAAATAATCCTACTTCAAACTATTTTAAATAATCCTACTTTAAACTATTTTTAATAAAGTTAAAAATTAAGTCTCTAATTTGGACACGGTTATATATCAA